ACATGCATCTTGTCCACCCTGCCCCACTTTTACTGTGCCTGGGACAGCGTTTTTCCTTTCCCCAGTTCTCCCTCTACCACCCCTTACAGCCCTTCTGTGCTTTGTCCACTAGGGCAGTCAGCCAGCATCTGGTGCTACAAGAACCGCATGGGAGATGAGCCTCCTCACCCCAGGCAGCAAGACCAGCATGCTGGCCCCACACCCCCTCCTACCATGCACAATAAGCCATTCCTGGAGCAGAAACAGAGCCATCGCCTCTCTGCCCTACCTTGACTTGGCAGCTGGCGCTGCAGGTCCTACAACAAACCAAGGACAAGAAATAGTGGAAAGCAGGGCCAGATGAAGAACAAAATGTGGATGCAGATGTTAGCAATGAGGAGGGCAGCCCAGAGATGCTGCGACTGAGGCTCCCAGGGTACCGCCACAGGGCATGGGCCGAAGGCTTCCACGCTGCTCATGCCTTCCACCGCCAATGTTGCGACCCCAGGAATCCCTCAGAGCACCTCAAAGGCTACGGGTCCTGGTCTTACAGTGTGTAAACCCATGTATCTACATTTGTCAAAAAGGGCCATTCACAGACAACAGTTGCACAAGAGGGCTACCAATCAGGTACCTTACCAAACTGACTGCACTCCACCAGGTATGAAGTCAGACCCAGGGTCAGGTTTAGATTTTCACATGGTTTAATAAGTTAAGAGGTTCAGCCATTACACAGCAATGGAATTCTTCAACATTTACAAAGGTGCAAGAACTTAATTCATTTAGTTCAAATTAAGTAATTTTATTCTCATCTCTTAAATAGCTACACAGTTCCTATTTTTTTCCTCTGAACAATCTGGGGTTAAAAGAATCCACCCAGAGAGAAGGCATCAAAGTACAAAAGAGCACGCACAAGGAGGGGCGCTAGTTCAAATTCGGCATGGGTATTTGGTCCAGGACCTGTACGATCAAGGAAAGGTGATGCGGAGCAGTCATGCCTGTAGAAGGAGCTGCGATTATCACAAGTATACAAAGACCTTTCCAGAAGTTTGACCACCACTGGTATTTTTACTCTACCATGACACTCACCATGACTTAGGGGGACGGAGGGGAGAACAACACAAAAGATCCCAAAATACACAAATGCCAGCCACCCAATCTTCAAGTACCTCGCCAGATACCTAGAAATGGTTTCTCGTAGGTTTAGCAAACCATGAACTGACAGAAGCTGTCGCAGGAAGGAAGCGGCACCACTAAAAACAAAAACCAATAAAAATAAAAATTAAAAAAAAAAAAATTTTAAGCATACTCTCTGCCATGCGTCCAGTTCTAGTCTAGAAACAGCATGTACCTGCAGCCCTCTTACATTGGCTTGAAGTTTTCACTACACTTCCCTCCACTGAACTGTCTTCTGACTAGCTCTCTACCCAAATAGTTTCCCCTTGCTCTCCCCTGCTTCATCTCGTCTGCCTAAAAATCCATCCTCTACTGCATAAGCAGCTGTTTGCAGGGGCAGAAGTTGGACTTGCTTGCTCAAGCATACTTACAGCTAGAGATGTCTATTTTCTCTCAGAGAAGTAAAAAGACACAGCATCCTTAAGTTTTAGGAACTGTGTTCATCCAAAAAAAAAAAAAAAAACACCCCAAAAAAAAGAGCAAAAAAAAAAAACAAAACAAAAAAAAAAAAAAAAAAAAAAACAACCCCACACAAAACACTAATCCTGTAAGTATACCTTGGCTTCATTTACACTGTTTCTACTTATGTAGCTGGTGGCAAAATGTGGCATTCAGAACGCAGGCCTTCACAAGCAGGTTGAACACCTTCCAAAGCCTCCCTGCTTTCAAGTGTGCCACTCTGCTGTGCCTCTTCACCCACACATTCGGTTGAGGACCGATTTCACAAGGTGCAAATAGAAAGCCTACCCGGAGACAGCAACCTGATAACCGCAGATCATTCAAGTCTAAGAACTTCCACGGCAGCCCACACCGTGCACTGGAGTCACTCTGTGGTCCAAGGCATTATGAAACGCCACAGATCCCACAACGGCACCAAGGTGAGGGCATGGGTACCCAAAAGAAGTTAACAGAGGAAAGTAGATGCCAAACAGCACTTCTGTCCTAAAGCCAGAAGCACAAGCAGGGATTAAATACAAGAGATTTCTTTAAGGAGCAGTTCTAGGGGGGGAGACTCCCTGGGACACTGTCTTTACTCCTAGCCTTTCTGGAGGCCAAAAAGCCTCAGTCCCCAAGGCTGGCAAGAAACTCCTAGCTTTCCTATTGCCTCCTTCCTCCAATCCAGACTAAAATACTCCAGTCAAAATCTAGGTATACGTTTGTCTGATGGACACCCTCGCTTGCCTTTTCTGCCTCTGGTCTACAGCGATAAGAATGACACTCACTAGCCCTTGTGGCACAAGCCCAGGTATGCGAGCCCCAGATTCACGCTTTGGAAGCGTGGGTGGGAGCCTTGGGTGTTTGTCTTCAGCTGCTCTGCATCAAGACAGCTCAAGTTGCTCCTGCAGTTTAGAGAAAAGAATACAGAACTATTAAAGCAAGACTCACAGAAGGCCCTGTGATAAACCCACAACTGAAGAGCTGCTGGCTCTAATGAAAGTTCTCTTCCATTCAAACCAGCATTTCTGATGCAGGCTCACAGCTGTTCTGCTAGAGAAGTGGTGCTGTGTGGGCTATTAAAGAAGCATAAACAAAAAACACAGCACTGTTAGCGACAGAAGCAGAGTCCTAGCGGGAACAAGGTGAGAGAGAGAGAGATGCTAAACCGAAACCGAACGCCGAGGGCCTGGAAACAAGGGCGTGCCTGTGAAGGACTGTGCCACACGTGACCTCACAACAACCCAGCCAAGGAAGGCTACGTCAAACCGGCGGCCGTATCGCTAGAGGCGAGCTGCAGATTCCCAACTTTCAACAGCACAGCAGCAGGAACCAGTCGCTCGCATCAAGGAAAATTATTCTCAGGGAGAAATGGCGAGCATCCTGATGGCCATAGCACGCAGAGCTGCGAACAAAACCAAGTACCGTGCGGACAAAGGAAAGCAACAAAGGATAGAAGACATGAAAGAACCTGGGTATGACAGAAGGAATCACGGCCAAAACAAAAAGATGCAAGAGGCTCCCAGTCAGAGAGCCAGACCAGTCCAGCTTCTCATGTGCCCAAATTCATGAGAAAGGCACATCTCATGTGCCTTTTCATGAGAAATTGGCAGGAAAACCAGGAAGTAAGGTTCCTCTTGCTGGCATACAACAGCGCTTTCAATCCAAACCCTGTGTGACTCTGGCCTTCCCCACCTCTAGACACTTTTAAGAGATGCCCTGAAATTCCTCAATCCTATTGCAGCAGCATACCGAACGCATACCCATCTTTGGAAATGGTACCCAATGGCCCTATCGCTAAGTCACGATTTGTCCTTCTGAAGAACACAACACATTCCTTTATCCACATCATCATGAGAAGAACTGCTGTTTTCTAGTTAATTGCATTCTTGATAAGGTGCGGCAACAGCCCCCACCTCGGGAGGTGCTGCAATAGGAGAGCAGAGTTAGCAAATCCAGTCAGGCCTAGGTGATAGCTCTTCAGTAAGCTTTTCCCTCTCCTTTACCCCATCTCCTTAACTCTGCAAGCAAACAGGACAGCATGGGCTTCTGTTCAAACCAGACACACTGATAGAGCACAAGTGTTTCTACGAAGAGTGTCGTTATGCTATCCAAATGGGACGTCTGGGGATATTCATAATGTGCACACATCAGGAGACCAGAAAACAGTTCATCTGGAAGGCCCTTGCAAGGCATCGTTTTTCCCCATGCGTGTCTCTCCCTCCATGAATATCCGCTGTGGAAACGCTCAGCATTCGAACATGATGGATCGGGTTTGCTAGAAGAAAGGAAATACCAGATGTGATCAGGAAAGGCTCCTTCTACTACAGGAAACCCTTTCACCAGTGAAAACAAGTAAACTCTTGCCTCTTTCCACCACATTGCTTTGGGCTCCACATCAGACTGCCCTTCTGCTAGCATCATCACGTTCAACACTCGACGTCCATTCCCAACGTGGCATCAGTCTTCAGCACAAGAACCATGAGGGTGAGACCAGCCGGGCACTCCGCAGGTCTGAAGACAGTCCGTCACCCTGTTGGCAAGGCCCCCAGCCGCTCCCAAGGGCAAGGCTTTGGCTCCTATTAGGGCCGGTGTGCGGATGCGGCCCTTCCCCGTTCAAGAATACGGATGCAGAAGACGGGTCGGGTCTCAGGCTGGCAGCACCAACCAGACATTCTTGCAAGGGCCCGGGCTTCTAGAAAAACTTGCCCAGTGGTTAAAACTTCCCACTTCTCTAAGACTCCTTCCTTCATTAGCATAGCACAGAAAGCAGACATCCCTCAGCACTGTCCAAACCAGAAACTGTTCCAATGGCAAAGCCAGGTTGAGAACCACAGCTCGTTCTCCTGAGGGCTCACAGCCCAGGCATGCATCACCCTCCACTGTACCTCAGTCACGTTATGGCCTCTGCTCCAAGCAGAAGTGACAAAAGCATTTAGATGGCCAGCAACCACGTCATTCTGTCTCAACGGCAGAGCCAAGAGAGGCTACGATCTACGCTTCTCAGTAACGTTGCTAACACCTGGTAGTTTCTCGATCTCTAACTCTGAGGGTTGCCACTTTAGAGTCCCACCCCCTCCTTTCCAGGATGCACCCAGTGACACCAGACAGCTATGCAGGCAGAGTCACTTCCACAGCTGTTGACACGCCCACAGGGTTGAGTGTGCCACCTGGATTTTCTGGCAGAGCCCATGGGGTAAGACAGTCAGAGAAGGTCAAGCCGAGGCAGACAAGCAGTCTAAGCCCCGGGTTCACCACCTGAGCTCCTCAAACAGTGCAAAGCACCAGGGTGTCTTCCCTCAGCCAAAGTTGGAAGGAACTGGACTGCAGGTCACAAATACCGTGGAGCAGGAAGACAAGAGACAAGAAAAGGATCTCTGCGCAATCTTTCCAACGGGCTTCTCCCTCCTTCAGTTCTCACCTTTCGTTGGGCCATCGCTAGCTTTGGGTTTGGACTTAGACTTGAAGGAGAAGCGCTTGATGAGGCGGTGGGAGAAGCTGCCTGCTTTCTTCCTGGCGGCTGAGTTGGTGATGACGTTAGACAAGTCGTCATGTGACTGGCTCAGGCCCGCCTCCTTGTGCTTGCTCCTTCTCCGGAAGATGAGCTTGGTACCGCTCCGAAGAAAGCTAACTGCGGAGACAGAAAGGAAAGAATACAGAAACCACAACAGTCTCCTGCCCTCATGAGTCCTGGGGGTGATAACACACCCAGCCGCTCTCAAGATAAGCAGCAAAGACCTATTCCACCCCTAACTGCAGAAGTACAAGGCAGGTGGGCAAATCCTGGCTCCCAGCTGCAAGGCAAAGTCTACATTCGTGACAGACTGCGGTACAGACAAGCTGCTCCACTAAGCACACCATCACACATGGCCTCCACGTAAGCTTCCTTTTAGGCAACAACATCCTCCCTTGAGTGGAAGTGCACAGAATTGGAACAGAAAGCTAAGACTTGGACAAATGGAAAACAAGTAAGAATGTCTGCACGTGGAGACCCTGGGAGGAACACACAACAGAGAAAAGGCCTCTCTCATACTAGCCTGTCTAAAGGGTGCTCAGAATTACCTGGTCAACAAGGCCGTGGAACAACTGCCTGCAGTTTCACGAGATCCCCAGATTTGCAGATAACTAACAGCAGTGGTTCCCAGATGACTCACAAAGGCAGGACAGGATGGAGACACCTACCACCATCAGCCCCAAACGGGTGCAAAAAGGCATATCCAAAACCTGCATGCCATACAAAGCTGCAACACTTATTTTGTGCAGAGGAGACTCGCTTTCCGTTTTCTTCCCATTCTTCCCTGCCTGCCAGGTCTCTCAAGAATCTGGGCCACGCATCTCTCTATCTGCTCACGTGCCAACAAGGGGCCACCCAATTCAAACTGTACCTGGTTGTACCAGGGTACAACCCCCTGAAACCGCTCCCACTCTCATCTTCTGAGCAATCGAGATTTTCGCTTGCGCTCACTGACGTAAATTTGTAGCTAACTGAAACCATCGTGGCTACAAGCAAACAAACCCAAGGCATGCCATCCACCCAATCAATGCAAGCCCACCAAGTCCAGAACAGCAGCTTGGTCAGGGCAGGCTCATTCCATCACTTAAAAGCAGAGCATCTGTGCAGACGTCCTAAGGTATGACAGGTCAGAGGCACTAGTCACTTTGATGCTAACAGAGAAAGAGGGAGGGCATCGAGGCTCATACAATCTGCATTATCAGAGAGCCTCCATTTCAATACCAGAGGCAGCCAAATTCAGAGGGGGAATTCTTATTTACAGGCCCATGCCTCATCTGCAGACCTGGAGGCCAGGGAGAGAAACCAGGTTCTCAGGAACACACAAGCTGCACAGGGTAAGAAACCACAGAAACCAAAAAGGCCACAGGAATCAGACACCTGAAAACAGAGGAGTCTGGAACTGCTCTGGTGGGAAGCACGCTACACAGACTGGCTCTTCCAGGCTCCCGCCGAAGCCATGCCTTGTCATATCGAAAGCTGCCTGCAGCCCCTGCAATCCGGCAGAGAACTTGCACAATGCTTTCTCCTCAAGTACAATAGGCTAATTTCAGCTAGCATCTAACTGTTCATCCTTACCTTTGTGATCCTTCAAGCTCCTGGTCTCCAAGGCTCCCGTGGAGCCAGATTCAGACTCGACATCTTCTGCAGACGGTCTCTCAGAGATGTCTGATCGCGTTGTCTCATCCAGCTCCTGACTGGCCCTTTGTCCCGATGGTGATGCTTCCAGCGGCTGCGACGATTCGGTAGAAGCGCTCATCTGGTCAGCTGCACCCTCTGCTACAGAATCCCTGTACGCCGTGGCCTCCAGGGATGCAGCATAGCCCAGAGAAAGTGCCATCTCATCTTGAGCGATAGGTACCTGGAGGGAGGTTGGAAGGTCAGACAGAGAGGAACACAGGGTCTAAAGGGTAACATTCATCTCCGTTCTTCCATCCATGCCTACATGCGGATGCGCTAGTTCCCATAATTGGCACCAGAAGGCACCAATGTTCAATTGTCACTCTTTTGCTGGAACGTGGCCAATTCAGAAGCCTTCCCCAGCGCCTCCCTCACTCCCATAGGCAAGTCTGAGAACTCCTCAGATTCTCCACAAGGTACCCAACCAGCTACGGCAGCAGCCTCCCTTTCTGTTGCTGCCCTTTGCAAACTCCCACCCAGCTGCCCTGCAGATGGCAAGGTACCTTCAACACTCGCCAGAAAGTGCCGGCAAGCTGCAAGGAAGCGGCAAAAGGGCTCTGCCAAGTGAGTCGTTCGTGCTCGAACCTTCCCACACCGGTCCCTATGGGACAGGGCCATTTCACACACACATCCCTGGAAACAACCTCCCAGACTGGAAATGGAGCCCCTTAATAAGCAGAGACCTTGGAAACTCCTGAGATGATCAACGTGCTACGTTTCGTTGGGGTCTTCTTGGCAGGCTTGTTATTCGTCTCGGTCAGCTGCCTGATTGCCGTCTCAGCCACTGGATCCAAGCCGTTGGGCATACAGTTATCCTCTGACAATAAGAAAGATACCAATGCTTGAAGTAGCAACCTTCAGCAAGGGCCAGAGGTTGCCTGCTGACCACGACACTTGTAATAGGCACCTACACATGCACAAAGTTAGAGAAGAGATTTTAGTATGGACTTGCCCAAATAAACCAAAGGAAGGAAGCTCCATAGAGCTCTCTTCTCTTTTAGCCACCTGAAAAGTTTGGTTTTGCACCACGCACATCATGAAAACACCCTTCCCACTTAACAAAGACTTCCAAAGGGCCTCCCCCAAGAATTTGGGCAGCCTTGGCCACAAGCCATAAAAACAGCCACAGCACTCTGTCCCAGAGACACCCAGAGCCCTGAGTACAAGGTGAGCAAAGCTCTTTGGGTCCAGATAGCCAGAACTGTTCTGGTCAAGCAATGAAACACCCAGAGTCACAGAATCCAAAGTGAAATTTCATCTACCTGCCCCCATCCACCACCACCACCTCTCTGCCCCTGCCTTCAGTCAGGCACTCAGACGTTCTCTTCTGCAGCAAACGCAGAGGAGTTCAGCAACCTGCATTCAGGCTACCACTCTCAAGGAAGGCTAAGGAACACAGTCACGCTGTTAAGAGCCTCGGACTTTCAAGCACTTACGGCTACCACTAGGCACGGGGCTGCATGGGCAGCTGCTCTCCAAGAGCACCGTTGTCTTCTTTTCAGTCACTTCCACCTTGGAAGGCGATCTTGATGGTGAATCTTGATGGTGAAAGAGAGGCAGAGACAAAGATCCCAGTAAGTGGAGACAAAGCTTAGGCAACTTTGCCACCGTATCGTGGCCACCCTACACACGCCTCCAAAGTCACAAGCGTGTGCAGAGAGCCTGCGGAGACTGGCTCGACGAGGCTTTGCAGCAACATAGCGAGAAGCCCGCTAGAAAAAGATACGCAGAGTAGCCCCATCACAAGACCCATCTGTGCCACTTCCCAGACCCCCCTCATAGAATATTGCCCAGAGAGGTTGTGGATGCCCCCTCCCTGGAGGGGTTCAAGGCCAGGGTGGATGAGGCCTTGAGCAATCTGGTCTAGTTAAGACGTGTCTCTGCCCATGGCAGAGAGGATGGATTAGATGATCTCTAGGGTCCCTTCCAGCCTAAGCAATTCTATGATTCTATGAATATTCAGCACCACATTCAGGGGGACATCGAACTGCAAGAAACAACAACTGCCAGTAAGCAAGATCAACGTACTTTGAGCACCGCATTCAGCGCATACAGCATTAACTTCTTTAGCAGCAAAGGAAACTGAGGAAGAGCAGCAAAATCCTGAGCCCAATGTCATGCACAGGTTACGTGCCAGCATATTTGTTAAGAGGTGGGTCCTCCTACCATCAAATGGTGTCCAAGAGGCTCATCCCTCTCTCGCCTCCCCAAAGGTGCAGGGCTGCGTCAATTCCCTTCTCCAGAGCTACACCCAAGCCCCCAGCCAGCCACTAAATGCTGAGGGAATGGCAACACCACCCGTGTTCTGACCCAGAAGCCAAAGGCATCGCACAAGGTGCGAGTCTATGACGACCACAATGTACAATGGCTAAACGGTTTTGCTACCACCAGCACGAGCAGCCTTGGGAAGATTGCAGCCAAGTCTGTGCCCCCACAGCAGCCACCCATACAAAAAACCTGGTGCATGGTGGCCTCACCCAGTTTGCAGTCTGCCTTGGGCCGGGACTGTATCGTGGTGACAGTAGTCACAATGGTGCCATCGGGCATGATGGTCCGGTCCATCTCCACCTTCTTGGTGGGGGTGATGCTGCTTCGCAGAGATGCAGCATGCTGAGCATTGAAAGATGCAGAAGACTCCTGGAATAGCAGCTACAAAAAGTAAAGGATAGCTAAGAGAGAGTCTCCTCCTCCCAGACAGAAAGGCAGGCATACAGGCAACAAAAGCTACCGCTCTGGGCACCGAGTAGCCATCCCCACTACAAGGTCAGTTGCATGGAGGGAGGCTCGTGGACTGAGAGCCAGGCAACACCCCTCCTCAGCCTAAGGGTCTGTCAGTCCCCTGCAATGTGCCCAGGCTCAGTTACACTCGTTTACAGCCAGAGGCTCATATGGCAAATGCTTCCAGAGCACGTGTTTGCATCAAGCGTCTATATCATTGTCTCACCTCCAGTGTAATGGCAGCTTCAGCTGCCAGGGACTGCCCAGCTCCCGGGGACAGTGACAAGACCCGTCTCCCAGACGGCTGTCTGCCCAAAGAATCAAGGAAAAGTGTGGCATGTGCCAGCAGCGCATCTGTGAGAAGAGGAAAACAAAACGCACCACATGACCTTCAGCACCACAGATGTCTCCCAGGAAACCCCTGCTTTTGTGAAGCAGTGCTGTGGGCCAGCAAAGCAAGCCCCTGAAACTCTGGTAGCTGCCAGGTTCAAGGTAGTGAGGGAGTGGGCAGCGCTCATCCACTCTTTACCAATCCAGAAATCAACTCCCTCAAAGAGGTGGCAGTTGTGCAACCTCCATCAGAAATAGGTGCTACAGTTAGACTCTGACCAAGTACAAACAGAGTTAAGAGCATTCTACAGTGCCCTTCAATACATGGGGGCAAATCCCCATATCCCTCTCTCTGCTTCACCATAAAAGGAGGCGGGCCCTCAGGAACCTCTCAGGTACCAAGAAGGTCAGAGTAAGGGCATTTCACTAAGAAGAACCTTACTTCGTGCCATCAGAGACTCATGTAAATTTGCATATGAAATAATCCTAAATCAGAATACCAACAAAAAAGTATTGAAGGCTCAAAGCACAGGAAGTCCCTCATGCATTTTTGTGTCCCTCTTACAATCTGTCTTATGGCTGCCCATACTCACTTCCCCCTCTGTCACTGCTCCCCAGCACCTGTAGCTTCAGCTCTTTACTTCTAGGTCCCAACTCCCTGTTGAAACAGAAAAAGACAGGCTGGTATCAAGCAATCTTTGCAAAGTGGCCACAGTGCAAATAAAGCCATTCAGTATCTTCCCTCCCTCATATCTCACATGCCTCATCGCCTTTCCCAAATCTCTGGTACACACGCGCTACTGTGGGGAACATGACAAGGGGCAGTGTACTACACAGGAGAACTCCAGCTTCTGTCCCCTACAGGGCTGCAGAGGCCACTAGGGCAGCTGAGAGGGTGATCCATCAAGAAGGCCAAGATTTACACTCCGAGCCTTCCACACCGGTTCCCACATGCTGTCCAGAAGCAGTGCTTCTGCCCATCCCATTAAAACACAGACCCTCGGGGGAAGCAGAAAATATGTACTCGAGTCGGGGCCAACTGCTGAAGTCGGCAGCCCAGCACACAGGCAGCACAAACACGTGCTGCCCGACAGTGCGGACTTCAACTCTGCGCCATCCATATCGGTTACTGTGGCACAGAGATGACACCCGGAGACCATGCAGGTTTACCCCTGCCACGATGGCCAGAAGGAGAGCCAACACTTACAGAAAGACCTCCTCGTTCCACTCCATCTCTGCTGCAGGACCAGTAATGTCAGCTGTCACCAGCCTCGTCCACTTCCTCTGCGGGGGATCGTCTAGCTCTGCCACACAGCATACTTCCCCAGCTGCTGCAACAGGGAGACGGGGCGTGCACATGCGCTCATCAGCGCAAGGCAGCGGCTCAGCGTACACATGCTCCCGTTTTCCATTCCAACCCACCCAAAACATCTACTCGCTCCTATTTCACCACTTGCACACTTGCCCCCCAAGGGAGCAGCAATGTTTCCATGCTTACCTCCCTTCCCCTGGCAGCCCAAGTTCAGCACTCGAAAATTCCGGAGCAACAGCTTAGGACCCGGAGGGGCTGGTACCACCCCAGACATGGACTCTCGAGGCAACTTATTGCTGGGTACCTGAGGAATTACAAGAGTGAGATCGGTGCCTTTATCATTCGCTCGCAAGCAGACAGTTGCAAGATGCACAACATTCATCCTTGCATCTACTAAGTAGTTCCTCACGCCGGCATAGAAGAATATCCACAGAGGCAGCAGGAGATGCTGCAGGTCCCCCAAGCGATCGGTGGGCCACCATGTTATTTGAGATGAGTTATTTAGGGCAGATGGGAAGAAACAGACAAGAGCAAACTTGCCAGCTTCCATACGGCAATGAAAAACAATAAATCATAGATCCTTCCATGCCTGCAGAGGCTACCCTGGAGGGAACCTCGGTGCTCAGAGCAACAAAGAGACTGCCAAAACAGAGATGTGTCTAAGGCAGTCTGGCTCCACCCCAACAAAATAGGCATTTGGGAACAAAGCTCAAACAGAACTGCCCTTCAGACCAGTTTCTAATTATCCCTTCTACCTGTGTCACAATACCCCAAATCCCAGGACATCACAGGCCAGGACACCGCTGTTGCCCAGCAGTGAGTCTCAACCCTTCACTTCATGCCTTAGCCCCAGCCCTCAGAAGCACCTCAGGGAACAGAGACCGAGGCACAAGAATGACACAAGGAGAGCGGCTTACCACACCGGCTCCAGCTGTGCAGGCCTTCAGATTCACCATCACAGCTGGCTGTGTGCTGACAATGGTATCCTCAATCAGATCCTTTATAGTGGACAGATCTGCTCTTCCTTCATTCTTCTCTCCGCACATCAAAAGGAAATACAGGAAAGTCGTAACGCAGAGACAAGTTTTCTCCTTACGCAGCTCCAACTAGCTCTCAAGCCTCTAAGATGCTACACAATCTTTCTCCCCATAATAAAGTTCCAGGTGCTCTTCCCATATCCCATGCTTGCTCTCCCCAGTGCTTAAAGCTTCTGTGTAACTGCTACGGGCAAATATAAGTTGTCTAAATGAGAGAAACTAAGCATCTACATCTGTAGTTTACCCACTGCAAATTTTGACAATACAGCTTTCACAGTTTGCCACCTCATTACCCTGTGAGATGGTACTACAGCACTTGTGGGAGAACAGCTCAATTTCTACACCTACTCGAGGTAAATCAACAAGAGTGTTAATAAAACAAACCAATCAATCAGCCTATTTGGATCACAGAAGCGCAAGTACCTCTAACACCCATGGCTGCCACAGTCTAATGTGAAAAAAAAAAATGAAACTAACTAAAAAAAAAAAGCCATGACCCACCCTGCTTATTTTGCAGCTCTACATCTGACAACGGCAGGAGGACCTACAGAGACAGAAATCTGGTTTTGCTATGTATTCTCCCATTCAACTGTGACACCAAACTCTAACAACAGGTATCAGTACCCCTTCAGCCATCTTGAGGAGATGCTGTTTTGACAGAGCTGAGCTAGTACCAATTCCAGGGTGAACGAATCCACTCCCTTGCCCTGAAGGGCCATGACACCAAGTTGCCAATCTCTCCCCTCTGTAGTGGCCTTCCTCCCAGTTCAGTGCTGTTTCTGCCCTTCCCATCCTTCCTCTACTCTAGTCCAGCCTCCCACCATTTGCCGCTCACCTCACGAGGTCGAAGTCTTGGCAGGACAGAAAGGTTCAAGTCTGGTCTGTCCTTGAACATCCATGACACCAAGAGACCTTCATTCTGGATCTCCTCCAAGTGGATCTCCACCTGGCCCAGGACAAATATCCACAGTCAGGAACACTTTCTGCTTCCATTAGCTGCTTTTCACCTAGCTTCAAATTCAGCAAATGAAAGGCCCTCACACTAGCACAACAGTAAGAAACAGAACATAAAGAACACGGGCAGTCTTGGTCCTACAGGAAGAGGCAGCTGCAGAAGCCTCACTGCTCCCTGGCAAGATCTGGCCTCCTCACCACCTTTGGATGACCACGTGACATCAGAGGGAAAAACAAAGGTTATTTCTTTGGCTGAAGAAAACGTCTGCAGGACAATCCGGAAGAGCAAATCAGGCACCGACAACAAGTTATTTAGTGAGCAAAATCACTTAACCATCACTGAACCTGAGCATGGCCATTCGAAAGTGAGCAATGCATTTCTAGGAGGTCATCCTCAGACTGAAAACTCATCCAGGTTGCCAATAGTCTGCAACAACAAACCAACCCGTAGGTTCAGCTCAAAAGTCACACACCCATTAGCCTGAAAGGCATCATTAATGCAACAGACACAAACAGAAGTGCACAGGAAGAACTCTTGACCCAATACCTAGTTAAAACAGGAAGGAGGTTTAATATAGCTCTAAAGTAACCAACAGACTGACTTTTATTTATCATGTACACAGAAGGTCAGCCATAAAAAGTGATAGATGTAGCCAGGTACGTAACCAACAAGAGGTGCAATAAATGAGGCAAGGCACATTTGGGAATACTGTAGGTGCAGTATTCCCACCAAACAGCGCTAGTTGGTAACTGTACTGGCATTTGACAATGCAGTAGCAAGACCTCTATTAGAATGCCATGTGTAATACTCTATGAGAACAATCAACCCAAAACTTCAGTGCGTGTAGGCAAGAGGACCTAGAAAATGGCAGCAAGCAGAGAAGCAATTTGATGAGATGTGACAAAGGCCACCAGGATCTCAAAAATTGCACAAAGCTGAAAAATTACCACGGTTGCTGCCCATGACTACTCTGGCAGAGGGCATACTGAAAACAAAGGAAAGAGAGAGGAGCTATTCAAACAGCTGCAGAACGTAGGCACAAAACCAAACCAGGACATTCTGGTAAATATTGGTTGAAAATTTCAGTAGAGCTTCCAAGAGCAAAAGCCTTCTAGAACAAGCTTCCAAATGCAATAGCACAGGACTGGCTTCTACTACCACGGTTACTTCTAATTGCACCATGTCTCCCTGTGTCGTGAACAAGCACGCAGTCACTGAGCGAGATACTGTCTCTAGCATCAAGCCCTTCTTCACAACAGGAACAAAATCACATTCCAGAGAAGCAAATCCAGCCAGAAAGTGACCATGGAGTTATCACCCATTGCAATTTCACAGAGCTTCTGCTCTGGAAGAAGCATTTCCAGTATTCAACACACAGAAAGAAAAAAAAAAAACAAACCGTATCACACTCCTATGAAGGTACTGATCAGAGCACTGGCAAGCAAACCACTCCTCACAGCATTTTTTTCCACACCGATTACCAGGACAACACCGTAACTGTATGTATGCACAAGACACATCTTTCCCTATTTCCTGTGCCGTGAGGGAAACTGAACTCTCTGGACCTTTCACTACCATCCACAGTACAGAACACTGACGTGCCTGAAATGTCTCTGGATTTTCTTATGGCTAAGTTACACAGCTGAGATCTGCAGAACAAGATTCAGAAAACAGGACTTGGCATGCAGATTGGGAATATTTGCCACCCTGCCAACATCAGTAAGAGCATGCTGCTTCTTCCAGCGTGACAAGGCCTATATTTGCACTAAATCGGGTCCTCCTTTCTCAGCTGGCATTGGGCTGGGTGAAAGACTGAGTTCCACGGCTAACTTTTTACAACTGTTACCTGAGCCTGCAGCACAGCCAAAGTGACATGATATGTGTCGACAGAAACAGCAACTGGGGACTGCTGAGTAACAGAGACAGGGAATTTCACAGCCTCAGCTGACAGACTGCAGCACAGCACCTAGGGAGAGAAGGATTAGGGTTAGGGAGGAGATGAGTTTATATCCTTGGTGAGTGGTGGCCTTGTGACTACAAAATCTCTGAAAGCAACAGGCATGGTCAACCCATCATAGCAGGAAAGAAACATCAGGCTTACTCTCATACCCAGTTCCTGCAAACCTGCCATTTTTCAGACTCTGTATGTTAGGTAGTAAAGACATATTGGTGACAGAAGCTTCCTTCTCCTCTCTACCGTAAGAGTCCAGTATTTGGGCTCGGCATCCGTACGCCCAAACTCCGTCAAGTCATCTTCCCCTAGGGATCTCCCCAAGCTCACTGATGCGCAGCCCCAGACCCACAATCTCACCGGCCCGTCAACAGCCTTCCACGCTCAAGAGCGGACCTTGCCCGAAACATCCCTCGTTCCACCACCCCTACGACGCAGGCCTCGGCACTCAGCAGGACACGCACTCAGCAGACAGAAACCCTGTGCCATACAATTCAGGACAGCAAAGCCTTACCATGCTGCGGTCCGACTGTCCCTTGCACATCACGTGACTTATATTGGTGGCTGGGGGCAACTGAGGACCCTCTTCAAAGGTGACCTGCACTGAACTCTACAAAAAGAGAAGTCCATTAGTTCCCAGCAGTCAAGATATCCCAGAAAGGTTCAAAGACTACAAACGATTGTGATGTGGGGCCCCAGAGATGCTCACATCCATTTCCATTATTCCCACCGGCATGCAGAGCTGTCGCACACTGCAGGTCTACCCATCTTGGCTCATTCGCACAGGGAAAAGAAACAAGGTCTCCAGCCAAGGCTTAGAGTCATGAGCATTACATTAACTCCAGATGGTGAAGTGCTGGGGTTAAACCCACAGCCCTGAAAGAGGGTTGGCATGCGGATGATGTCCACAGCGAGGCAACAAAGACCCTCCTCCTGACTGTTTTTCAGCCAGGGTCTGGCCAGCCTTGGGTGGAAACTGATTAGGAGATCACCACCAGCTGCCCCTGCCTTCCACGTTAACTCAGAGGCATGGCAAGAAGCCACCTATATAACAACTGACTCTACTTGCACTGGAGTCAGGAGACCTGCCCACACAGTGCATGTGCCGAGTGAGGATTCTGGCTATCGGAAGGGCTCCCCAACTCTTCACAGTGAGTGGAGTTCCCAGGACAACAGAGCCAGAATGTGAAGCTGTCTCTGAGTCCCTACCATATAACTGGACTCATGGCCTGGCTGCTACCATTTCTCACAGCTTGGCTCCTTGCCCAGCTCACTCCCTTCTTTGCATCCACGGCGGTGGGTGAGTGCATGGACTTGTTCCTCCCTCCAGCTGTCCAGCACTTTGGATCTCCAGTGCGTGATGTGGTAGCAGAGGGAGGAGTTTGGCTGCTGGTCTGCCCATTAATTGATAATAGCATTCTCTAACAGGCAAGCATCCAGCGGAAGAGATGGGAAAACCCAAACGAGAATGGAAATTTGCTCTGGGTAGCAGGCAGCTATAAGTCAAGTGTATTAACCCTTTTTCACTGCAGAAGTTTTGTTGTTTCTCTCTCTCTCTCTCTCTCTCTCTCTCTCTCTCTCTCTCTCTCTCTCTGCTCTAC